GGTAACCACACTGACCTTGCCTTGGATGGCTGAGTACTGCCACTTGGCCCCAGCACTCCAAATGCAATTACTCCTGTTGCATTTAAGTTTTCCATTTGAGTGACTGTACTGTAAGGGCTGGATCACAGAGCTCTTCAGGGATGCTGGGGCCCCTCACAAATCTCTCTCTCAACGTATTGGTGAAAGATCTGTCTTCTGAATCTTCCCAGTGTGGGTGAGTAGCTTTTAAGTGACAGATCCACTCCAGCATTCCAATGTCCTTAAGTCTTTGAATCCCTAACTCTACATGAAACCTAAGCCTATGAATCCCTACCTCTTCATTAAACCAAAGGAGACCCAGCAACTCGAACTCACTCACAGCAGGTCATTCTTTGATCCATGTTCCAGTCAACCAACCAAATGGATCTCTTCTTAACTCCCTGAGCTACAACATTAAGTGCAGAATCTCTGCTTAGTGGGCCTATATCCATAAATTCAGCCGGATCCAACTTTATGTTGGTTCCACATCCTGATATCCACTCCCACACACGCTCCCCTTGGTGTCTGCTTGTATCAGTTAGAAAACTCAAGTGGTTCTCTTGGAGTGGAGTGCAGCTCCTCACTCTGACCTTGGAAAGGGTGTGACCAGATCGGCCACACTCAGACTGTCTGGCAAGGGGTGTTCACAACTGGGGCACCTGTCAAGCCCTTGTCACAGGTAGGTTTTTCCAACCCTGGAATCCTATATTCCTACTCAGCAGTCATTTCTCAAGGGTGGGGTTTGCATCCTAATACTTTCTTCATCTTGCGCTCAAATCACCCAGTGTCTTCCTAGTTTTCCAAGAGATGCCCAAAGGTGGCAGAGACTCTTGGACTCCTCCACCCATCGCCTACGCAGTAAATTCAAGAGGGGCAGGCTCAGTTTCAGATCAGATGCAGAGGTTGTTGACAAACCATTCTCACAGTCACATCTCCTGACAGCCAGCCCTGCCACAAATCCCATGCCTGCATTGCACAAGGTCTGGACCTCAATGGCGGGCAAGGCTGGGCTGTGCCTTGGCGGCTTCTCTTCCCCATCTCCAAGAAAGGCCCCAAGAGCCTAAGCCTGTTGTTGATGTGGTCTGTCTCATGACCACTGGACTCATTTATTTTTAACGTTGGGCAATGAACAGAACTTTTAAAACACAAAGCAAACAGGCAGCTTCCCAAAGGTTCCAGGGGGTTGGCAGCAGGACAGATCCCCCAATGAGCTGTTGGGTTTTGCCATCCTCCCTTTGTCCAAGCAAGGAAGGAGCCTCAAGTCCAAGTCAGAATGGATGTACATCTCCTGACTCTTGCCCTGCATAAAGTAACAGTCAACCTCTTTGAGACTTGATGCTTCCTTTAAATGCTTCTTAGGAAGAAGCTACGGATGACCTGACATCTTGTACGCGCTTCAAAATAACCCAGCGTGTGTGTGTATGTGTGCATGTATGTGTGTGCATATGTAAGTGTGCATGCATATGTTTGTGTATGTGTGTGTACATATGTGCGCGTCTTCTGCGAGCATAAGTATGTATGTGCATATGTGAGTATGTGTGTGCATGCAAGGTGAGGAAACCTGGGGGCTCATCATACTCTGCTTCTAACTTTGGTATTTTTGATATTTTCCATAATAACAAAACATTTCATTTAAAAAATAAGCACATACTTCTTGAAGAAAAGGCTCAGGTGGTGGAAGTGACAAACTGCACTGGCAAAGGACTTGGGTGCCAAATCTGGATTCGAGTTTTGGCTCTACCATTCCCTTGCAGCGAGACCTTAGCCAAGTTACCTGCCCATTCCAAGCCTCAGGAGAATGGACATGGAGGCAGAACCCACTTCCCAGGGTCCTTAGGAAGCCCATGAGTCAACGTGTCAAGGACTCAGGTCAGAGCCAGCACTCACATGCACTGTGAAACCATGAAACCATTTCCCACTATTATTATGCTTAGGACTCAAAGTCACGTCCATAAAGCACTCTGTAGCACAGAGCCTGGCACCTGGCTGCCAGTGGAACTTTAGACTGGGGGAGATGTTATCAGATAACTGGGGGAGGGGAGAGCACTCATTGAAAGTCCAAAATCAAAGTGCCTTAGAGTCTGAATTTCATTGATCGAGTGTTGGGGGTTGGGGAGAAGGTAACACACCCCGGGGCAGACTGAGGCACACCTGTACCTGACCTTGTGCTTTCGTCTGATAAAATTTTTCAGAACAAAAAGATAAACTGAATCATGCACACCAGCCACAACCTATTTCTTGAGAAGAACTGATGCAAAATGCCCAGATGAACTCATGAACACCATGAGAATCAGAGGTTTTGCTAAATTTGAAAATGCATCTGCAGGCAAGTTTCCATCCACCCAGGAGGAGGGGCAGGTGCAGGAAGGGAGCACGGCACACACCATGGGGGTGGGAGGGCAACGCTGGCTTCCACGAGCTGGGACCCCACCCCATTCCCCAGCTCTGGTGGAGAAATTAAACATCTGTGATGATTCCAAGGGGGTGAGTTTTTTGCAGCAGCCCAGAGGAACCCACTGAAGGGCGGATCCAGCCTTACTGGAGCAGCCCAAGAAACGGCCTCACCCAGCTCCAAAGTGACATCACCGGGGCCCCAGGCAGGACCACTCCTTCCTAAGGGCCCTGAAACCCACTGATTCTTCCCAGGGCCTGGCCTCCCTGAAGCGGGCATGGCACTGGGTTTGCTCCCTGCTCGGGGCTGTCTGGGCCACTGGGGCCAATGTGCTACTGCTTTTGTTTTTTCTGCTGCTACGGTGGTAGCCAGGCTGGAAATGGAAGACTTGTAAAGTGATTGCCTTAGTCCACTCCACACCTCCCCACCCACAAACACACACACACACACACACACACACACACACACACTCCATCTACTGGGTAAAGTGCTCCCTGCAGAAGAAAAGCAGCTGTAAGAGAGCAGGAGTGCTTTAAATGATCTAATCCAGCCCATCACTTCACAGCTGGGGAGACATGAAGTGCCTGGCCCATGACCTCAGTGCTGGGGACAGTAACCAACAGCAACAGTTTCAGGACTGGGGAGTCTTGGTCCATAGCCCTGGCTGTGCAATCTGGGTAAGTGAACCACCCTCTCTGGGCCTCTGCTGGGAAAGGACAGGTTGGCCTAGACAGTAAGACAGGGCTTCTCTGACTCCAAAATTCCTCAGTGGGGAGAGACCACCACCTGTGCCGCTCATGCTTAGCCCAGGGCTTTCCACCACTGGGAGGGGGGTCTGAGGAGGGGGCAGGGCAGAAGGGAGAGGCCCTCATCCCCTTCCTTGCTTGCTGTTTTCCTCACACCCCACAATGAGAAATGAAGTTGTGGGCCCAGCCCCCCGCAACAAGAAAATTCTTCCAAGGACACCAAACCTTAGTCACCAGGGATGGCGCTTTTACCATGAACACCTGTTAAAACTCAACTCATGACCAGTTTCTGATGCTACAGACTGGAGTGTTTAATTAAATATTACTCACTCAGGAAGCAGCCCCTGCCAACTCACCCCCAAACTGTGTAGTTCATTTTCAGAGAAATGGAGGGAGGAAGAGCCTGCACTCTCCTCGGGGGCACCAGCAGGGCTGGCCTAGTGAGGTGTCTGTGGCCCAGCACGCCCAGCTATCCAGAACAAAGCAAAGAAATCACCACGAGGAGCAGCACCTAGGAACCAGAGGTCCTCCGGCATGGTCCCCACACACACTCCCAGAGACACACACACACACAGACACACTCACAAAGACACACAGACACACACTCGGACACCCACACATACACAGACACACTCAGAGACACACACACAGAGACACTCACAGAGACACACGTGCGGACACACAAAGACACACAGAGACACACACAAAGACACACAACGACACACACACACACAAAGACACAGAGACACACATTTGCACAGACACACACTCAGAGACACAAACTTGCAGAGACACACAGCCAAAGACATATACACAACTCACACACACACACTCAAGACACACACAGACGTACAGAGGCACACACAAATACACAGAGACACACACACAGTCACTCAGAGTCTCAGGCACACATTGACAGACACACAGACTCACTCAGACACACACTCAAAGACACATACATACACAGATGCACTTAGAGACATACACACATGAACACACAAATACACTCATACGCAGGTACATATTCACAAGGACACGCACAAACACACACGCAGATGCACTCTCAGAGACACCCGCTCTTCCTGCAGACCCGCACCCTCCCCTGGGGGCCGTCCCGTCCCGTCCTCACCCCTCACCGGAACCTGGACGCCACGAGCCCCGCACACGCCCGGGGACGGTGACCCATCCGCGAGTCCTCCCGCGGGCCCAGGCCGCCCTTGTTTTTCCGATTTAATCGATTTCCTCACAACTCTCCGGCTCTCCCTCCGCTGCTGGGAGAAGCTGCGGCGGCTCCGGGGCGGCGGGGAGGGCGGCGCTCGGGTGTCCCCGGCAGGCTCCCTGGGGGAGGTGCTGCGGGAGGGTGGGGGCACCCTGACGGGGGACCGGGCCGCGCCGCCAATCCCGACTCGGACTGGCGGGAAAAGCGAAACTAACTCAGCCCAGCGGGGTCCCGCTGCCCCCGGGTTAAGGAGGGGACGGGTCAACGGCCCCGGAGCGCCCCGGCCCCTCCTCGGGACCGCAACTCGTCGCGACGGTCCCCGCGCCCTGAGACCGCCGCCGGGCCTCGCCCCGGGACCCCTGCCCTGCAGCGGCGGCAGCGAGGAGCGGGCCCGGGCCCCTTTCCCTGGATCCGCGGAGAGGCAGGCGCCCCCGAAGCCACCGCGGGAGGAGCCGCGCCCCGAGTCCCCATCCCGTACCCCACCCGCTCCCCCGCGCCCGGCCCCGCGCCACCCACTCGGTCCCCCAGCGCCGCGATCCCCGCGTCCGCCCCCGCCCGGGCCCCCGCGCCCCCCGCCCGGGCCGGACGCCCACCCATCGGGTCCCAGGTGCCCCGCGCCGCCTACCGCGCCCGGGGTGCCGCCGCCGCCGCTGCTCTCCAAGGCCGAGGAGGCTCGGGCGCCCGGGCCGCGCCCGCCGCAGGGAGCGAAGTCGCCTCCTCCCCGCGGCCCCGGCGCCGGCGCCTGGAGCCTGGTTCCTGCTGCGAGCGCGCAGGCTGCCCGAGCGCGACTTCTGTGCGGAGGAGAAAATCAACCGACGGCTTTAAAGTGAAAAAAAGAGAAAAGCGCCGGTGGGTGGGGCCGTCCCCTGTCCCTGCCCCGCCCCGCCCCGCCCCGCCCCGCCCCGCCCCCGGCCTCGGGCGCACAGACCACTCAACACTGCATGGAAGGCAGGGGGCGCGGGGCGCGGGGCGCGTAAGCCCGACGCTCGCTCTGCCGCCCCCTTCGCCCCCTTAGTCCGCCGCCCTCTCCCGAGTCACCGCCTTGGTGTTGCCAGCCCGAAGCTCTGGTCCCTCCGGAGGCGTCTTTGGGAAACGCGTGGCGCAGGGCCTGGGTTGCAGCCGCGGGAGGCTGGAGTGGGGGCGGGGGTCTTACGAGAAGGAGAAATCTTCGCGGAGAGTGGGGTTGTCCCAGTAATCCCGAGCAAGGCCTCGCCGGGTTCCTCTGAAGTGCCCAGCGGGGACGGGTGGGCGGCCGCCAGGGGGTCCAGGGAGCCTCCTGCAGCGCTGTTTCAGCCCCGCACGTTTCGGTGTCCACGGGGACGGGGGCCTCGGACCTCGAGACCCTGAGGGCGCGGGCACCTGGCATCCGCAGGGCTGCTCCCTGAACACGTCCCAGCCTCTGAGGACTTGTCCTGTGGCTCTAGCTCGTCCAAGGAATTTTCCTGCCCCTTCCCCGAGCAGAGCAGTCACTTGGGACTGGGAAGATTTTAAAGACATTATTGTTTGGAGAGCAAAATTGTCTTGCATTCCCCACCCCTCGCTGTGTAGTGTCCATTGAAAACGGTGAGGAGTTAGCCTTTCTGGGGAAGTCGAAACAAATAGTGGGGCTACCGTAGTTATTGGGTCTTTACCATAACCCAATACAGTGAAGGCGGGACTAGTATCACCCTCACTGTAAAGAGGAAACAGTGCCTGGCCCGAGGCCAGCTGTCCAGAGCTTGGAACCCAACTGAACTGTGAGATTACAAAGTTTGATGTCTCCCATCTTACGGTGCTGAAAATCAGTTTAGTTTAGCTTTGTTTGAACTCAGAATAGGAATACGGAGACTCAACCGACTGCCCTGGGCTGGGCGGGCCTGAGTGGGCATTCTGACTTTCCAGGTGCCAGCGGTTTAGGAATGCTGAACCCAGACTGGTCAGGTGGGCAGCCATGGCCAGCAGCTTAGGGGTGCTTCCCAGTTAAAAGAGCACTTGAGGCTGGATGTGGTGGCTCTCACGCCCTTAATCCCCACACTTTGGGTGGCTGAGGCAGGCAGATCACTTAAACCCAAGAGTTCAAGACCAGCCCGGGCAACAGAGCAAGACACAGACTCAGCACAAAAATTAAATAATAATAATAATAATTGGCCGTGCACGGTGGCTCACACCTGTAATCCCAGCACTTTGGGAGGTCGAGGCGGGTGGATCATGAGGTCAGGAGATCAAAACCATCCTGGCTAACACAATGAAACCCCATCTCTGCTACAAATATAAAAAATTAGCCAGGCATGGTGGCGGGCACCTGCAAAACCCAGCTATTTGGGAGGTTGAGGCAGGAGAATGGCGTGAACCCAGGAGGTGGAGATTGCAGTGAGCCGAGATTGCGCCACTGCACTCCAGCCTGGGTGGCAGAGCGAGACTCCGTCACACACACACGCACACGCACACACACACAAACACACACACACAAAAGGAGTTCAGGACCAGCCTGGCCAACATGGCAACACTCCATCTCTACTGCAAATACAAAAATTAGCTGGGTGTGGTGGTGTGTGCCTGTGATCCCAGGTACTCGGGAGGCTGAGGCAGGAGAATCTCTTGAACCTAGGAGGTAGACGTTGCAGTGAGCCAACACTGTACCTGTGCACTCCAGCCTGGGCAACAGAGCAAGACTCCATCTCAAAAAAAAAAAAACAGTAATAATAATAATTTTAAAACAGCATGAGTCCCGCCTGTAATCCCAGCACTTTGGGAGGCTGAGGTGGGCAGATCACAAGGTCAGGAGATCCAGACCATCCTGGCTAACATGGTGAAACTCTGTCTCTACTTAAAAACAAACAAACAAACAAAACAATTTCCCAGCTACTCGGGAGGCTGAGGCAGGAGAATGGCGTAAACCCGGGAGGCGGAGCTTGCAGTAAGCTGAGATCGAGCCACTGCACTCCAGCCTGGGAGACAGAGTAAGACTCCGTCTCAAAAAAAAGAAAAAAAAAAAAAGAGCATATGACCCCCTCCAGCCACTCTGTATTTTGAGAACTGTTGTTTACTTGGGAGACTGGTGAGAGCCTCTGGGACAGGCCCATGGGGTGCAGCCCACTGCAGTCATTGCTGAAAAATCACAGCTGCCTCTGATGGGTTCATTTCTCCTCCTTGGGAGAGTAGCCCTGTTTGGTGGGTTATTCACTGTGTGTGTGGCCTCTACCAGGCACTGTCATCTCATGGGGCTGGTGCTACGGCCACGTGGTCTGGGGCCATGGTGTGTCAGCTTTCCTAAGAGGATCTCCTCCAGGCCTCACCTCTTACCATCTGGGAAGCTTCCAGGGCAGACTGGGGCACTTTGGAGCTAGAGACTCAGCTTTGATATTTAAGGCCCTGAAAGACAGTTCCTGATGAAAAGTCTTCAGCACCCCCACCCCACCCCCCTTCGGCGTTAATCTGGAAATCTCAGCTCTGATCCAGTTGAATAATTAGATCCCGCTGACCTAAATTTCCCAGAAGAACCCCTGGGGAGTGGACCTCCTCTCCTCCAGGTCGCTGGGCAGGTTGGCCGGATGATGGAAAGCTGGTCAGCCGGCAGTGACTGCTGCGGCATGGGGCAATGTTGAGCAATCCTGGAGGCCAGGTTATGTGTCAGAAGGGCCCAGAATCACCCTAGCATGCTGATACTATTGTTTGTTAAAAAAAAAAAAAAAAAAGATACACAATCTTGCAACATTGTGACATAAGCTGATAGATACTATCCAAAAGTTTGAAGGGTGACTCAGGACTTCTTCAAGGATCTGTGTACTGCAGGGGTGAGTCGGGAGGGAGGTGGCTCTGAGCTCCCAGTGATGTCACCCCCAACCCCCCCAACTCCACCCCACCCCCACACACATTTTATTACTTGCATCAGCACAATTTGCTCCTGTCTTTAATCTGTCTCCGGGAAATGGTGAAGAGAAACTGTTAGATGGTGAATTAGCATCAGCTACTTTTTCTGACGATGGTTCTGAGCCTTGAGCTCTTAGCGCAGAATCCTCCTGCCCTCACAAGTGTTAAGGGCTGCCATCTTCTCCGAGTCCCTTTTGCCAACTGGAGCGAATGTGCAAAGGATTTGGTAATAGACAAACCCAATGCAACCCCCAGCTCTGCCATTCATCAGCTATGTGACCTTGAGCAAGTTATTTAACCTTTCTGAGATTTCCTGTTCTCATCTGTGGAACTGCTCTACACATTTCCCCAGAATTTGGGGAGGTGGTGCAATCATTCAACAAACATTAATTGAGCACAATTAATTGTGCTGGAATGAAATCAAGGATTTTGAGAATTTTCAAGATAATAGTTTTTTTTTTTTTTTTTTTTTTTTTTTTTTTTTTTTTTTTTAAAGCCTGGGATCCACAACACAGAATTGTAGCAAGATCCACCAGAACATAAAGAACACTGGAGCATATTAATAAAATTTACATCTATTATGCATCCTTAGCATAAGACGTATACTTATCTCATGATGCAAAACAGAAGTAGAGTGCTTTATATGTTAATTAAAAAAAAATAGAGACAGGGTTTTACCATGTTGCCCAGGCTGGTCTTGAACTTCTGGGCTCAAGTGACCTTCCTGCCTTGGCCTCCCGAAGTACTGGGATTATAGGCATGAGCCATCACAGCCAACTACTTACAGAATTTTGATCTCATAATATTCCCTAATTTAGTACATTGATTCATTTTGTAGATCATTTGGTCATAAACTGTTGTAGTGCTCACACCAGATCACATATTGTCAGACAGCGACGCCTGCTGGCAAAGCATGATATTGCACTATAGCTCTATCAGACATTGTTAATCACGAATAAAGGAAAAGATTCAGAGCAAAGTTTTGGGGAGATTTAAATGAGACATTAGATGATAAACAGGCTTGGAAAGAGTTCCTATGACTTTGATAAAAAAATAATAAAGAGATGATCTTGGGTTTGGGACAATAACTATTGCAAAGTTCTTCAAAAACACAGTGAAGTAATAGTGAGCAGGCTGTGATATTGGTGCCTATCTTAAATCTTCACCAGTTGCTTTTAACAGTATTTCAGTTTATCTTTATCCATGGGACATCTTGAATATACGTTATAATATAATTAACTAATTTTAGTAGTATTAATGTAGTAAAACTCCATTAAACAATCAAAGCAAAATCCCCTCCAAGTATTTATTATTTGATCCCTCAGTATTTATTTTTATTAAAAATTTAGGAACCTAATAAATAAATATGGAACAGTGCTATTCTGCATGCTGGAGAGCGATAAACAATATGGACCAGGCTCTGGGCCTTAGAGAATTTCCATTTCAGTGGGAGAGACCAATAGTAAACAATAAATGAGATCATTCCAGTTGGTAACAGTGTTAACAAATAATCATTTTATGTAAGTTTGCTCTGTGGTCTTTTTTTAAAAACTTAGAGAGGGAGAAAGACCTGTATTCAGTGGCTTCAGTTCAAATTTTAAGAATCTATATAAATATTCTAGAAAAGTTCACCTTTCTGTCTCAAATAACAGATCAGAGATTTCCAATAGTCAGGGACACATCTCACCCTCCTGTTCCCCACCACAGAGCTTGCTGTGTTTGGTCAACACCTTGATAAAGAGGCCAAACTGACAGGTCCAGCTTCTCTGCTCCATCCTCATCTCAGGATGCCCCTGTCCCCAGCCAGAGGATCAACTGCCTCATTCATTCAGCAAGCAT